AAAAGCTTAAGGAGACTGGTATCATGACTGTGGCATCACAGTACATTTACTCAAATATTTTATATGCCCGTAAAAATATACATAATTTCAATAAAAAAGAAGACATCCAAACTCATGGTACCACGATTTCGCTTAACCAAGGTAGACGACTCTTTTATGGGGAACTGTATACGTTTTTACAATAAGATTCCGGAGCATATATTAAGTTTATCATTTCCTAAGTTTAAAAACTACATTAATAATATTTTGATCGAAAAATCAAATTACAAAATTGAAGACTACGTATTAGATAAAGATGTATGGAAAGACGACATGGCTCCAGAATCCACACAAATTTGATTCAAAGTGTATTCCATACCATTTAAGTTTATTTGAAAAGAGCAATCCCTAGAGTTTCTTGCTCGTTCTTCTCAGGAAGATCAGCGTAGTGAACGAGCAGTAGCTTAAATGTGACGTTTTCAAGTGTAAATTTATTTTACCTATGGAATAAATAATCTTTGACGTTGGGATAAAATTTACTTTTACTGCACCATATTATAATATGGTAAGCATACGAGTGTTTTTATATGCTCTGCTACCACATTTGATATTAAAGTAAAATCCATTCTTGAACAATAGTGTAATGAACAAAAAGGACACCGCGTTGCTAGGAGGCTATTAGCAATAGACCATACGATAGAGTTTCTTGAACTAAGAAGGTTTATAACCTCTAACAATGCCAACACTTCATTTCCGAAAATAGTCTTTTTCGTTTAGTGTTCGTGTTACAACGTGCGTTATACAAAATTGTATAATTATATGAATGTTATACTACTAGATAAAATACTAAAGATTTGAAAGAAATTATACCCAACACATTCTCTGTAGTATAGTTGAAAGATAATCTATATAACTATACGATTTTAAGACGAGTTTGTGAATTGTCGATATAGCGTATGTCGATATTATAGACTTTCGATATAATCTAATGTAATGTATCCTTCGATGTTGTGAATGAGACCCATGATGCCCACTGTTCGCCTTCGATATTACAGACTAAAAGTTTAAATGTAACTTCCCTACGGGGTATTTGATATTTTCTTATTTATTGTTTGTTAGTCTAACTGTGGCCCTCTGTACGGAACCTAGAATAATTTTATTAAGAATAATAAAAGGATGTCTTAGAATGTATTTTGTTTTATTTGTTAATTTCAACGCCCACAGTCGCAAAAAATAATTGAAAAAATAATTCAGGGTTTTTCTAAAGCGGTAGCACTCTCTGGACAGTATCAACACCCCCTTTTGCTTCAGAGGCCCCTAACGCCCCGTAGGACTCTTCAGCGTTCACTGCGGGGCGGAAGTGATCTCTTTGGGAAACTATGGTTTAAGTCGATATCCTGACATAAGTAATTTAAAATGACTTATTTAGAGATAAATCCAGATGATGAATTCGTAATTTTTGTATGAAATATAGAAATTTAATGAATGCCAAATTTACAAGACGCAACTGAGTCAATAAATATATAAGTGAAATATAAAATTTAGCTCCGCGGTCGAATGGATTGTACACCGGTTTTCACGGTGTCGCCATCTCTGATGTGTTTTATTGTAATAAAATGTAAACGCATAATAAAATGGACAAAAATATTGACAGTGAGAACAATTAAGTATTAATAAAAATTCGACCCTGCAGCGTTACGGGATGTGGCATTTGAAAAAGTGAAGATCGACCGAATGTAACATTGTACAGGCACGTGTTATTTTTCTGTCCATAAATCACACAAAAGCCCAAATATCTCATGTAATTAGACTCATTTAAGTAGTTTATTCATAAGTCTTGCCGAATTTTGCTTTGGTTACTTTAGATTGCCTGTTTGTTAGTATGTTTTGATGATTATTGATAACATTATTTTGAGATAATGTTGTTCTTGTATGCAGACATATTATCGATATTCTGTTATTGAAACAATTCACTACGAGGTTTTAATTATTCCATTTTTGTTATTTTTAAAGTTTACCTACAAATGAAAAAAGAAAGAAAGAATGATAGGAAATTATAGGACTGCCACACATAAACGTTGGATCAAATACCATCCTCGTTTATTCGCTCCATTCAAATGTAAATAGAACTTTGAATGTTACTAGATTACATGATAATGCAATTCCATCGTTACGTTTATTGGTAAATAACTTTATATTTAATTTTGATTAAAATGGCTCATTACTTGCATAGTAATAATAGCCTAGTATTAATTATACCTTGTTTACAGTAAACTACACAAATTTGGAAACATAAAACACACTAACAACAGTTTCAACATTCAAGCCATACATTTGCATGTCGATATTGACTTATCTATGATTATGGTACAACACTAAATCTGCTATTTGTGGTGGACATTTTTGGTTTAGGTAGGGACGTTTATTCCATAGATAGGGCAACTCCTTTCCATTATTTTTTTCCATTATCTAAGCGTGAAACCGATACCATTCTGACATGTCACGACACGAACCGTCAGACAAATGTATTTTTTTTTTAATAATAAGTGACGGGACGAACAAGTCGTACGCCTGATGGCAAGTTACACGCCTGTCCATAACAGTTGCAATGCCACTCAGAGTTTTAAATCGCAAAAATCTGAGGGGCACTGCCACTGGGCCCCATCTCCCTGAGACGTAAGTTGACAAGTCTCTTGTGCCTGTAATTTCACCAGCACCCTTACCCTTCAAGACCGGACCACAGTAATGCTAACATTACTGCTTGGCGGTAGAAATAGGTAAGGAACCCTCACAAAAAGCTCTACTACTACGAAAATTCGACTTTACTGTCTGTACACAACGCTCAGCTGGACCGTTGAGCATATTTTTCGATTTTTTATTGTATCGTTTTGGCTCAGATGTGTCTGTTACTTTCTGGTGAATTCTGTCACATCATATTTAATGGTGAAATGTTAGCTAGAACTATCTATTCCATCGTCCTCTCTAGCTCGTTAGAGCGATGCCACACGGGCGCTGCTGGTGCGTTGCGTCATCACAACCATTGTGATACCGACCCATCGCAACGCTATGATTTCAACGCACCGAGTGCCATACAAGCAATGCTGTTATTTGATTTTTTTTTTGTGAAGTACATTTTGCAGTTCGCCGCTGATGACCTTACCGGATAAGAGGGCGAGCTGAAGGCTCATAACCCGTAAAGCAATGCCGTGTCGCGATGTAACGCCACTTACCACACCCCTCCCCGCTTCGTCTCCTGGCCCCTTGTCCGATGCGCTGGTGATTAGTCGTCGCGCGCCTTTTCAACGCACCACGTCGCATATAGTTCTAATTTATATGTAGTAAAACGCGGCGTTACCGCTAAGGCGCGCATCGTGTGGCCTCGCTCTTAGACACTTTTGAAATTTTTTGTTATTAATTTGTAGTTTACATTTTTTCATTTAATATATGTATGGCAAAGCAAATACAGTAGGTAATTTCATTAAAAGCAATATTTGAAAATCTTGAGAACAGTTAAGCCAATTTAAGATCCCGTTGTCCCAAGGAATACTTTATTTAATAAATTGGTACAATCAGTACAGAGTACTAAAAAAACCAACCTCAAAAGTACGTGGAATTCATCTATTTGCCAAGTTTTATTGAAATCAGTTACCGGAAAGTGCGCAAACCCGGATTCATCCCCTAGTTCGCCACTATACGGAACTTGACACAGGAGATAATAAAAATCGGTTCTCACTACTCAAAGTATATTGAGAGAGAAAAACGCCTTGAATTGGAGAATAGCAAAATCAACCATTAAAATAATTACTCCTTATAATAAAATTTAGGCGCTGTTTATAAAAATGAATCTTCGCGCGTGAACAGCCACTCTTGGAGGTGGATGATTTTCTTCAAAATTAATTTGGACCACTCTGGAGGTACCCTCTATCCAACAAAAAAAAGAATCATCAAAATCGGTTCACAAATATAGAAATTATCGCGTAACATACATACAACAAAAAACATAGTCTAATTGAGAACCTCCTCCTTTTTGCGAAGTCGGTTAATTATAACATAGGACGCATTGTATATCTGCAAATATAACATGTAAGTAAATTAAACAATCACACTTCTTATTATACTATTTATTTCACAAAATGCAATCATATCGCTCATTATTTATCACAGACATAATTATAAAAGTTATACTTATATAATTACATTGTCTTTTATGTATTAAATATATTATATATTAACTATCTGACATGCACAATCAATTACAATTAATTTGTCTAACAGTTAGAGCAATGCTATCAAATATGACGTTTCTATAAGATATCTGCGAAACAGAGCGTGCAACCAAAACGCAGTCTGCGCGTAGCGCGTTCTTTTTCCCCATCGGGCTATTTAATTCATAAATAAATTAGTTTAAGCGCACATTGCGGTGTATGACATATGTTTAAGGAAGTCATTAGACTTATTAACGCGGAATCGTTTTGATGCTATAGCGTTTAACCGCACTCGTCGCATACGGCTCAATTCGCATTGGCGCAGAGTCGAAGCGTCGCGACACCTCATGTTTTTCGCCTATAGCATATTCATCTCTATTTTCCCATTATTAACGTACAAATTTGTGTTATGCAAATTGAATCGCGCGTCACTTGTGACGCGTAACACTGACATGTGCGAGCGTCGTCGCTCTACGGCCGTTGATGCGGCCGGTAGCATGTTGACGCGGCCATTCGGACACCAACTGCTGCTGTTGCAAAAGGGCATGCCTTATTCAAGTGTCATAATAATCCATTATGGTAAAACCGAAATAATGCACGCATACAAAATACGTACCTACATAAGTAAACACTGCCGTAGTGGTTGAACGGTTATAATCCTGGACTTCCACGCAGAGGTCCCGGCCGGGAGAAATACTTGTATGGTCTATATTTATTTCTCTCGTGAGTTTGTCCAGCTATGAGTGTACGCGCTTTATTTATTTGGTTATTTAAACAATAACGAACACAGTATAATTATCTTTTTTAATATCGTTCGGCATTGCAAGAAGATTGATATCGAAGATAGCGTCAGAATTCCCTGTACTACGAGTACTAAGGCGACGGAATTCACCAGTCCAGAGCCAATTTAGAAAAGGTCATTTCTCAAATTGGTCCTACCGGGAATCGAACCCGGGACAGTGTAATCCGTTAGGCCACCGAAGTCGTCGAATTTCCATGTCTAATAAATTACTTAATTAGTCTTCTAAATAATTTGAACTCTGAACTATGTTATTTTATTGTTGTTTTGATTCTACACGAATAATATCGTCGGGAATAATTACGCGTGACTAGCATTTCCGTGGCTCAATTGGGAGCTGGTTCTGGTCTGAATCCAGCCAGATCAAAGGGATTTTTCTTAATTTTCGATCTTTGTATTTCAGAAATGTTGTATTATAATTATTATAAATAATTGCCTCAACCACAGACGTAATTACAAGTAAGACAACACAAATTACTTTTGGTAATCATATATTTAACTTTCTTTATATTTGTTGTCTTATGATATTATCCAGATTTATCCAATGCGTGACTTACATACTTTCGATAGTATATTAATTAAAAAAGCTATTAAGGCCAAGCCGATCAGTTATGTAAGCGCTCTAAGATATAACTGACTTATTTGAACGTTCACTTTTCGTTTTTCTAATACTTACGACTAAACTAAACCTAAATGAAACAGGTTTTCCAAGTTATATACATTCTAATGTATAATTTAAAACTTGTTTAGATGTTAACGTATTGATCTACAGGCGCAGAATTGCCAATTGAATTTAGACCCTATAGTACGAAGGTTTAGGTAAATATCTAAAAGTAAAATAACTTCAGCTGTCACTTGGTTAACCGGTGAATCGTAATCGTATTACTGCTGTACTCTGTAATTTGGTCACATGTTTTTTAGCTGCCATCTTTATATGGATAAGAAAAATAACTTTTTCTCAAACATGCTCGGAAATGTTTCCATTAGGTACTTTCAAAAATCGAACACGGAAAGTTTATCATTTATGGATCGTGCGACTTCTTCCAGCCCACGGCCTTCAAAGTGACTAAGTATGAAAATCCAGGGAAATCCATTACAGTCCACTTATCTAAACTTTTAAATCTATCTACTAGTAATGAACTATGTAAACAGGCAAAAGAAAAACTCGTACAGCCAACGGCAAGTGTTCGTCATTGTGAGAATTAAAAATATCTACATGAACCGCTTTTTTTTTTTAAAGAAAAAAAGGCGGTAAAATAAATAAAGTGCTTTCGTATTCTTTTCTGCTTTTTTTGGTCTTTTTTCGTTCGTCGCAAAAAGAAGTTCTAGTGAGAGAACGAGAACAAAAATACAATAATGGATACACTTTTCAGCAGACTATTATTGAATGTGCCTGGAAAAACTTCTCTTTTATTATTTCCTCACATTTTTTGAGAAAAGCACCATGTAAGCCTCGGCGGAGATAGGATCGCTTGACTCGTATTAATACAAATAACTCATACTCGTCCAGCAATCCCTTGCTTCCCGACCTCTGCAACAATGTACTACCTATTTTTCGAGAAATTTGTGAGTTTCATCCATGCGGGCTGAAGGCGGTAATGTAAGAAGAAAAAAATCTTGAATATTATCAAAAAATAACATTATTCAGTCCATTGCAGAGAGATTGGAATACTACATGTTAGGATACGCCTAAATCAACAAGCAAATCACTCTTTGAACGCTTTTACTATAGATGCAATGCTTTCGTATGTTCCAGTCACAAAGATAAAAATTCCTAATAGAATGATGATAAAGTTTTTAAGGAGCATAAATATTGAAATTCCCTTGGACTTTTGTGAGAACAGGACCAGCTCGATGATCGGTGGGAAGATGAGCGCCAGCGCTGTGCTGCTCACGGCACCCACCAGCGAAATGAAGAGGCCAAGCTGCGGTATTGATTCGGCCAAGATGACTGAAAAGAATTTTATAATATAACTTTTTTATTAAAAGTAACCGACCTTCATAGAAGTACTGTTTCCCAAGTTGTATTGAAATAGGTTACCGGAAAATACGCGAAACCAGGCTGATCCCCAGTTTGCCACCCTAAGCGCTTCTGCCGCATCCAATTGGTATTTGTTCAATAGATATATAGCAAATGTGTGTCGAATCCAAGACTAAACAAATCTATAAAACTCGGACCCAATTCGAGTGTCACTTGTGCACTACGTCTCTACGAATATCGCTTGTACAGCTAACCTCTTTTCTGACGTCGGTTAAAAATAGTAAGTTACGCTTAACACAACGAATGCAGCGGCGTGATATTTTGCAGTAATAAAGGAAACTTACAAGTAAGTAATACCAGCAAAGCTCTGTATCCAAGTTCCTTAGCGACAGGCGACTTGGCTCCGTATTTCTTCTTGAGAGCAGGCCACGTAATGTCCACAGGCACGTAGAACTGCAGCGGGTACGTGAACAGCATGGCCAGTGCAATCAGCCCTTGTACTACGTTACTTAACCTGGGGATATTTTTTTTTATAATAGTAAGTGACGGGATGAACAAGTCTTGGACCTAGCTCTAACAGTTGCAGTGCCACTGAGAGCTTTAATAAAGATCTGAGGTGACACTGCGCCCGTCACCCTGGGACATAGGTTGACAAGTCCCATATGCCTGTAATTTCACCAGCACCCTCGCCCTTCAAAATCGGAACGCAGGAATAATCACATTACTGCTCGGCGGCAGAAATAGGTAAGGAGGTGCCACTATTTCCTTAGACGGACTCTTTCACAAGGAGCTTACTCAAACCTGAGTAATATGGTGGGGCTCTTGAACGTTTCGTTATCAATTACAAGATTTTTAGCAACTTTTCAAGTTTCTATTTCAACTTACACATGTCCGCGCGGCATGTTTAGTGTCAGACTCCCAGCTACGTCCTCACCCCATTTGAGATACCCGAGGAAGCCGACCGATATGAAAATACTCCCGACGAACACCATGCCCACATTCAATACACCTAGAGGCTTTTGGAATGTTTCCGGCTTTCTCATCTCGTTTTTCAAAGGCAGCACCTACAAAACATTGAATGTAATGTAGTACCTAAATAGGATATGAAAAGATAATGGCGAACTCCCATATAAAATTTTGTTGACATAATTTAGAATAGAATTAATATTTATGCAACGCCACAACATTTAGATACAAAAAAATATTGATAAAACTTAGACAAACAAAACTAAATAAAAAAACGTAATAAACTAAATTAAAATATAAAGAAAAACAAACAAAAAGCAAAAACCTAAATATAACGACTACAAATGTTGTACTGTCATGTGTGCGGTTGTGGCGTGCGCAAAAGGACTTTATTCTACTTATGGCCACAGCAATAATGTGTGGCGCTGGTTTTCAACGATCCCTGAGCTGAGATGAGTGTTTTGTATGCGTCTATTTATGAAAAATATGTGAAAGTATAGAGTTTAAATTGACGAAAATATAGAGATGAAACTGCGACGTCTGTAATTAAAGATTTTCAGTTTCAAGTTTTGGACGTTGTGTTTTACATATGATTGTGAATACACAGATTGAACACACAGAAAAATTTTTTTCGTCGACCTGGTAGGACACGAACCCACGACTACCTAATAAACTAACTTAAAAAGCTATGTTAGTGACAAAGAAAATACGATAAAAATACAAGTCAAAATTATCTTTCACTCGCATTCCTATCAATTAGACTCATAATGAGACTATTTGACCAGAACCCGAATGAAAGACTTCATTATAGGCAGGTTATATCTGTTGGGTATGACCTGTAGAATGCTGTTGGTACTGATGATGACTTAGAAGTCATCTACCCGCGCCTCTGCAAAGATGGTAGATGCACTGCAGAATCGAGGCAGCCCCATCAACACTCTAAAACCATTATTATATTGGACCCGTAGGGCACTAAGCGATCTTTTAGTATAATTGAAACACAGGCTGGTCGTGTTTTTACTTGCCTACTACGACGAGAAAACCTGCGTGCCAACATATTACTTCTGATTGCCAATGGCTTACGTTCCCTCTCAATGTCCATCTGGTCGTCAATGAGTTGAGATTTCACCTCACTAATAAAATTGTAATCTGTCTTAACGACCATCTTAGTGTGCCGGTACTTTAAAGGATCGAAACCCAGCGGCGGCCCTTTCGTATCCTTAGAAATAGAGTAGGACTGAAATGGATGCAACCCTAATGAGCCGTGACCAGGTTCACGGCAATAAAATAAGAATTTTTCAGATCCACAGAAATTTATTGTAAAGTTGATGTTAACGTTAAAAGAAAACGAAAGGCTGTAACAAGAAAAGGTATATAAAATCAAGTACAACAGTACAGAACACTCCTTTAATACGGATTAACATAACAGTCCAGACACTTAACCCAAAAGGGCCGAATTATGCGGTATTATAGATGGGTATTAAAACTGGCAAAATAAGATGCAATTGAAGTTTCAACAGCACAGTATCCCGCCGCCGCGATCGAGCAGGGAATGACGAACAAAATCAGAATGGTAAGGGAAGGTAAGGGAATTAAAGAACGATTCAAAATTTAAAAACGTATTGCCAGGACCCGGAGAAAAGGCGATAAAATTGTGGGATAAGGAGGTGACATCGTCACAATAACCGGAAAAAGAGAAATCTATACTATGGCCAAAATCTTCCAGCTGAGGGACATATAATGAGGCAGATAATGAAAAGAGAAAAGGCGAAATAACTTACCAATCCTATGCCTTCGAAAGCATAAATAGCAGTTCCAAAATAAAGAGGTAACTGTTGCCAGGACGCAATGTATTTCCTGCTATCCAGGGGTGGCAGGTCCTGAGCGGCCACGTATACTACAGCGCTCACTCCGACCGCCATCATAATGTTCGCCACAGTCGAAAACGGCGTCAAGTACTTAAGGTTTCGCACCATACAGGAGAGAAGAACCGGTACGACAACAAATATCATATGAATCGATAGATCCGCGTAGATACCGTATTCGTCGCAAATCTGAAATCACTTTTATTGTAAGCACTTTAGAGTCGATAGTAACTCGGCTCGAATTCGAACGGTTCACTTTGCTTGAGCCAAGCGGTAGGGACAATGGCTTTGTTTCAGAATTTATTTATTTACAGATTAAAAACATTTAAAAAATATATATCGTAGGCACACTACACGAGGTCTATTTAGTTCAGTTAATATAAAAAAAAACCATTGATATATCTGCCGTCCACTAACCAAAACGTGATTAAATAATTAATGGTCAAATATCCGTTTCAAATAGAAAAAGATAGAGCACAAAATTCTATTTTAACAATCTCAGTACAGAGTACTGAAAAAACCGATCTCAAAAGTACGTGGAATAACATCCATTTGCCAAGTTTTTTTTTAATCGGTTACCGGCAAGTGCGCAAGCCCGGATTCGTTCGCCACTATACGGGACTTGACATAGGAGATAATAAAAATCGGTTCTCACTGCTCAAAGTATATTGAGAGAAAAACGCCTTGAATTAGAGAATAGCAAAATCAACCATTAAAGTAATTGCTCCTTATAATAAAGTTTAGGCGCTATTTATAAAAATGATGATTTTCTTCAAAATTAAATGGAGGTACCCTCTTTCCAACAAAAACAGAATTATGTAAAAATCGGTGCACAAATACCGGACTTATCGCCTAACATACACACAAAAAAACTTACAGTCGAATTGAGAACCTCCTCCTTTTTTTGAAGTCGGTTAAAAACAGTTAAAATTGGTTAACGTGTTCAACTTATCGGAACATACCCTAACGACGCATTAAACAATTTCAAAATTCTAAAACTGGATTATGGCTTTTTTATGACATTTCAAAAAAATATTTTGTTGCTTAGTTAGCGGACGGCAGATATATAAAGTACCCATTGAATAAATCGGTTTTCTGCAGCAAAATAAACAGATTTGTGTACGTCCTTCGTGGATTGAGACGAGTTGCCTCTAAAAGAATATGCTTGTTTGCCTATCACGGCTACATTGCGTCGGTACTACGTTACGGTTTGATTATATGGGGTAATGGAACATAATATGTAGAGCGAGCTTTTGTAACTCAAAAAAAGTGTATTCGAGCAATGTGCGGCATTGGCCCACGGGAATCTTGCAAGCCGCTGTTTAAGGATTTAAATATTTTGACCTTACCTTCCATGTATATATATGAAGTTTGTAAATTTGTTAAAGAGCATTCACAACTGTATCAAATCGATAAATGTTAATCAAATCGATAGATGTTAATCCACGCGCGAAAAGACACCCAAATAGACTTGTCGTTGAAAATATACCTAAGACTACACTGTACTTAAAAAGTTCATATTATATGTGCATGAGAATTTATAATAAGTTGCCAATAGCAATAAAAAACTTGACATATAAAAGAATGACATCTGAATTGTATAAATATTTAATTAAAAAAGGTTATTATAGTGTAAATGACTACCTAAAAGACTAAATTTTGCATGCTTTTGTATAATGGCTGAATAGCAGTACCTACTCAAATGTAACAACTACCATCCTGTAAAAAACCTATTCAATGCAAATAAAACTTATTTCATTTCATTTCTTGTAAAATTTCGAGGTAAATTTGTGTTTTTGTTCTATCGTGAAAAGTTTTAGGAATCCTGTTTTCACACCTATAATAATCAGCGTATTTCCTCAATTTTACTATATATTCAACAGTTTCACTGTTATGCCGAATCAACCAAATCCATTTGAGGTCGGCTCTTAACCGAGCTACATATTGTAAAATCAAATTCATTATTTAATTAATCCTTTCTTCATATGAGAACTGCGAAAATTTCGAAAAATTCGCCTTTAATAATTGTTATAATAATGTACTTAACAATTGCACCCCAGCTGCCTGGTCTTAATAAGGGAATTAATTCCCACTATGAGTACCAGAGCAACGGAAGTTTGGGACACTGGCGAGAACACCCAGATCAGGGTGTCTCTCTCAGACTCTTAAAACGCTGTTATTAATAACGCACACAAATTCCTATCATTGTGAAACAATCAGTCAATGTTTGTTATGAGAAAAGGAAAATCCAGGAAAGCCATTGTCCTTATTGCTTATTTTCAAAAGAACGTCGTGATAATTTACCGTGCAATATTTAGTAATTACGACTAAATTGTTACTTAAATAATCCAATAACTGTAGAATGTTATAAAAAGGTGTTTTAAAACATGTGGCGTTTGCCGTTTTAATTTTAATATGGCACGTTTGTGCCTTAGCTGTGTGCATTGTAAGTAATTTCAACGAAGACTGTAAAGAGATTGTCTTTATGAATGTGTATTTACCATTTTCACATTAGTTGCGATGAAAACAATGTAAACGCAGCAGAAACCAAGTTGTGTTATACAAAGAAACGCGTTGACGAGAATTTTCATGGTAGGCGCCAACGGTCTCAATCGAATGGGTCCATGTGCAAATACCAAACTCACTGTCTCTGCGAATCCCGGCGGCTTGTCCCTTTTTGTCTGTTGGTACATTTCTTCTGAACAATTAAGCTGAAACATTACAATTACAATTATTATTGCAATGACCGAACACTAAGAAACATTCCTCCGATCCGGCTGGAAATGGAAAATTCGTCGTAGATCTGTTAGTTCGTTCCGTTGCTCAGTTGAAGGCGCTAGTCCGAATCCAACTGGATCCAAGGAATTTTTGTTAGTGTTTGATCTTTGTACTAATGATTTAGCAACTAGTGCAGTAATTTTACAAAATATAATTGAACGTTTATCTATGGTAGTAAAACATAGTGACATTGAATAAACAGAATACGAATAATCTCAGTGCAGAGTACTAGAAAAACCGACCTCAAAAGTACGTGGAATTACATATATTTGCCAAGTTTTATTAAAATATCCCCTAGTTCGCCACTATACAGGAATTGACACAGGAGATAATAAAAATCGGTTCTCACTTCTCAAAGTATATTAAGAGAGAAAATTCCTTGAATTGGAGAATAGGAAAATCAACCATTCAAATAATTGCTCAATATACTAAAATTTAGGCGCTATTTATAAAAAATGAATCTTCATGCGTGTACAGCAACCCTTAGAGGTTTATGACTTTCTTCAAAATTAAATGGGACCACTATGGAGGTACCCTCTTTCCAACAAAAAAAGAATCATGAAAATTTGTTCACAAATACCGGAGTTATCGCGTAACTGTAATATGTAATAAAAAAGAAAAAAAACAAACAGTCCAATTGAGAACTCCCCCATTTTTGAAGTCGTTAAAATTAGTACGTAATTCTAAAAATTCTGAATTCAAATTATTGTAAAGACGCTTTAAGAAACTGTTATATAATACTAAGTAGTATACATCAAATTCTTTATTTAACGCTATGTATATATATATGAAAATTCATTCGTGATATTAAGATTACCAATATGTGTTGTGCGTGTACACTGATGATACCAAGAACAGCTGTCATGATTGGTGCAAAAACAATGCCACCGTTTTTAAAAGCATCTCCCATAGCCAGAAGTCCAGAACCAATGTTCCCTTTGAACAAGTGTAACATTGTATCCATGTACCTGTAACACATTTTACCTATTAATCCGAAAGTCATTTTGTCGCCTTACTCCATTGACTTACAATTATATGGACGTCGGGTCCGCGCTAAAAAGTGTCCGAACTTATAGGGCGTTAAAATCGTGTACAGAGCGTCATTCACGCTTTAGTATTCGTTTGTTCGACTGACAGCGAAGCAAGCAAAATCAGACAGTACTGCGATGACATTACGATTTAAATTCAACGTTTTAGCTTTTTCATATTCCTTGACATGTCACTACGTTTAAATGCGTTGACTTGGGACATTTTTTTCGTGGTTTTTGTATTAGACCCGTCGTCCATTTATTTGTAAGTCAATGTGTTTCTTACTATCTTTCTGAGCTCAAGTGGGTTTGCTATTCGCGTTCCCCGGAATATTCATATACTATCCCTTATAAACAATACAATTCAATGCCTCTTTCCCGGTAGTTTTCGACACTGCCCGAATACTCACTCATTACGGCCTTCAGGAAATTTTGTCTCTAGATGCCATCGCATTCCACTTCGTTTTACGATTCTTCTTTCTCTGTGCACGCTGTTCGTCTCTAGAACTCTCTCCCAGTTACGATGAGACAAGCGAATCGTTAAACGTATTTTAAAATTAAGTAAAGTAATTCTACCTTTCACGAAAGCAATAAGTAAAGTAAGTAAGTAGGTAAGTATTTTGTATATGTATAATATTATATTGTATATATATTATATGTAAAGGTGCTGGGGCTCATATTCCTTCACATGTTTAAATAGGTTGACTTGGGACATTTTTTTCGTGGTTTTTGTATTAGACCCGTCGTCCATTTATTTGTAAGTCAATGCCTTACTTTCTCAAATTCGTATCTTAAACCACAAATTTGTTGAAATGAAATAAATGGATTGTATATACAATTATCGCTGGCTGAATTCACGTTACGTATCCTTTGTATTTACACACTGGCTTTAAAAAAATTAAAATAAATAGAAAATTTTGCCATCTGAATAATCACTCTATAAGATAAGAGTTTGGGTTTAAAATACTAACAACCTCGCGGGACTAAGTATATTACTTACATCATAAATAACAACAATATTTCATCGGATTATACTTTCGTACACAATCGAGTAAATCGAGTTTTACTACAGAATTGTGAAGTGAATATCGTCAAGGACGGTGCAGATCCGCGTATATAGTATTTGTAAAAAGCGCGTATCTGCACCACACCACATTTCAAGGGATAGGGATTTAACGTTATTACTTTGTTATTTCAATGGCTACGACTTCCATTTTTGCATAGCAAGCATTAATTTGTGTTGGCTACGGACTGATAACAATAGATTCCCGTAAATCACGCTAATTTGGTTGCCACGTCTTTACGCGCATTTGATTTGGTCACTACATTACCGAAATGGAGACACATAATCAAATGCTAGTTACGCGTAATTGCACTATCCCCGACGATATTTCACTTTTTAAATTGAAAACGTAATCATCTTTGTCCTAAGCCGAAAAATCTGAATAAATGACAAATCCGGACAGAAGATAAAAAAGCTGGACGGATTTTTTTATTATGCCAAGTGCATTTAACGAAACTCAAATAATATACATTAGATAATACCTCCCTCTGAAATTCCATAAGAGGCATAAAAAACAAAATATATAGGTAAATATAGTTTTTACTATTACAATTTTTTCTTCTATATACACTTGTATAAGTAACTTGTATAAGTTAGTATATCAATAGCGTAGAACAAAATACAATATAACAATTCTGGAGTTTCCTACAAGATTAGGAAGAGAAGAAGCTTAGAGCTTTCCACTTGCTACGATCCCGATCATTGACTTACAATTATATGGACGACGGGTCTAATACAAAAACCACGAAAAAAATGTCCCAAGTCAACCTATTTAAACGTAGTGACATGTAAAGGAATATGAAAAAGCTAAAACGTTGAATTTAAATTGTAATGTCATCGCAGTACTGTCTAATTTTGCTTGTTTCGCTGTCAGTCGAACAAACGAAGACTAAAGCGTGAATGACGCTCTGTATACGATTTTAACGCCCTATAAGTTCGGACACTTTTTAGCGCGGACCCGACGTCCATATAATTGTAAGTCAATGATCCCGACACATAGTTTTAAGGCTTTTTTAATAATAACAAGTGATGAAGTCCATAAAAGTGCAGTGTCACTTAGAGCTTTAAATCGCAAAGATCTGAGGGGCACTGCTGCTGCCCCCGTCACCCATAAGTTGACAAGTCCCATGTGCCTGTAATTTCATGAAATGTAGTAGTAGTTCTCAGAACGAAACCGGGACATTCTCATCTAGTACTGACAGTGCTAATTGTAGTAGGCAAGCTTCCCCAACTATTGTTAGTCTAACGTTACTGAAACATACTTGTATAAAAAGAAGAACTCACGAGGTAGGATGTTTAATTTGGTGACCAGCGTGCAAGCCGTTGGGTTGCTTGCTGTTCTCTAAGTCCAGTTGTGATTTAGAAACGACGGGTATAATTTGGTCCCGAGATTGGAACACCCCGTAGCCATTGGTGATGTTGCTGCAAACAAAAATAGATACTTATTATACTGAACACAAATTGCTAAATGATCCATCCTTTTATTTGGAGGAGCGGCTAAACCAAGCGACTATAATTAGAACAAGAGCTGTTTCTAATTAATCTCAGTACAGAGTACTAAAAAAACCGACCTCAAAAGTACGTGGAATTACGTCTATTTGCTAAGTTTCATTGAAATATCCCCTAGTTCGCCACTATACAGGACTTGATACTGGAGATAATAAAAATAGGTTCTCACTACGACACTACTCAAAGTATATCGAGGGAAAAACGCCTTGAATTGATGAAATAGCAAAATCAACTAAATAATTGCTAAAAGTAATTGCTCCTAAATTAAAGTTAGGCGCTATTTATAAAAATGAATCTTCATGCGTGAACAGCCACCCTTTGAGGTGGATGATTTTCATAATGAAATGGGACCACTATGGAAGTACCCCCTTTTCAACAAAAAAAGAATCATGAAAATCGGTTCACAAATACCGTAGCTATCGCGTAACATACATACAAAAAAAAAGAAAAAAAAAAGAACATACAGTCGAATTGAGAACCTCCTCCTTTTTTGAAGTCGGTTAAAAAGGGTGAAGAGTATTCATTCATTTATTCATTCATTTATTGCATTACACGGTTAATACACAGGATCTTAAAATAAATTTACGTAATTTACACCGCAATTTACGTTTATCTTAAATTAAATTAAATTACAGAAGTTCCAAAATTGAAATCAATAAAAATAACATAAAAATCAATCATAATTAATCAAATCAATATCAAAATAATAAAATTGAAATAGTTGAAGTAAAATTTATGAAAACTAAAAAAAAATGTAATAATCAAATCAATGTCAAAATCAAAATAATATTTCATTAATAAAATGGAAATAACAAAAATAAAAGTAATTATATGTCTTAATATTAGAAGAGTATCTTTTCTGTATTCCACTTCTTGCCAGTAGTAAATATAGTTTTTACTATTACAATTTTTTCTTCTATATACACTTGTATAAGTAACTGCTGGTTAGTATATCAATAGCGTAGAACAAAATACAATATAACAATTCTGGAGTTTCCTGCAAGATTAGGAAGAGAAGAAGCTTAGAGCTTTCCACTTGCTACGATCCCGATCATTGACTTACAAATAAATGGACGACGGGTCTAATACAAAAACCACGAAAAAAATGTCCCAAGTCAACCTATTTAAACGTAGTGACATGTAAAGGAATATGAAAAAGCTAAAACGTTGAATTTAAATTGTAAAGTCATCGCAGTACTGTCTAATTTTGCTTGCTTCGCTGTCAGTCGAACAAACGAAGACTAAAGCGTGAATGACGCTCTGTATACGATTTTAACGCCCTATAAGTTCGGACACTTTTTAACGCGGACCCGACGTCCATATAATTGTAAGTCAATGCCTGCGACCCTCTACATATGTATTGCTGTGACATGCGTTCCTCTTTTTTATTAAATCAACGAAATTTAATTTTATAATATAATACGATATGATTTTAATTATATAAGTTTATACTTATTATATTTGCTATTAACATTTGTATGCCAGTTAGTGGCGCAACACGCTGAACCACAAGTGTAATCTTAAGCATGTAAAAGCTTAAGCTCTATCTCTATCTATACATTACGTATATACACACATCAAAAAAAGTTTGCGATCAATAGCATAAGCTATTATAATTCTTTAAATTTAACTTTATCAAGAAAAAATCTATGTTGTATGCTTTCTTTAAATAGAATAGAATATAGAATACCCTGTTTGAAATTAAAATATAAAACTATTTTTTATTATTTATTTTAAAAAAATGAGCCATTAATCATAATGTAATAGTGATAGAAATTTCATAGAAAGAAAAAGACTGTTTAATTAAACTTAAACAACAATTTATTATTAAAAGGTGTGAATTCAATATAAAATAACTCCTCCCCTGTCTCGAATACATGCGAAGATCTTCCTGGGCATGCTGAGGATCAAGTTATCCAGCATTTTCTGGGGTAACCTATCCCATTCTTCAATAGCGGCTTCCCTGAGCTCTG